GTTCAGACCCTGCCTGCCCGCCTGCGCCCAGGTGACAGGTACAAGGTCAGCACCAGGCACACCTGCGAGAGAAGAGGTTCAGACCCTGCCTGCCCACCTGCGCCCAGGTGACAGGTGCAAGGTCAGGACAAGGCACACCTGTGAGAGAAGAGGTTCAGACCCTGCCTGCCCGCCTGCGCCCAGGTGACAGGTGCAAGGTCAGAACAAGGAACACCTGTGAGGGAAGAGGCTGAGAGCCGCCTGCCGGCGCCCAAGCCCCCCTCCCCCTCGCCCACCTTGCGGATGAAGGCCTGCCGGATGCTCTTGTCATCCCAGTTGGTAGCAGGGAAGTCCTGGTTGTCATAATAGGATGGCGGCCCTTCCTCATGGTAATTTCCTTGCAGAGGAGCTGAAAGCAAGGTGGCAGGGTCAGCAACCACAGGCCTGGGCCCAGGCCCCCCAACCCCCCACCCCCACCCCGAGCCCCTACTCACAGCCTGGGTCCTCGAAGGCCTGCGGTTGTCCATAGGGGTTGGGGGGGAAGGGACTCTGAGGATAGGGCCCTTGTGGGTAGCCTCCTTGGGGATAGGGCCCTTGTGGGTAGCCCCCTTGGGGATAGGGCCCCTGAGGGTAGCCCCCTTGGGGGTAGGGGCCCTGTGGGTATGGGGAGGGGCCCTGGGGATAGGGGGCAGGGCCCTGGGGATACCCTGGCTGACCATAGGGTGCAGGCTGGAAAGAGGGCTGAGGGTAGGGGGCCCCAGGGTAGGGAGGCTGCCCATAGGGAGGCACAGGGGGCTGGGGTCCCCCAGGATATCCAGGGTTGGGGGGAGGATAGTTGTCCCCAGACACCAAGAAACTCTTTTCGTGGGACATGGCCTCAGGTTCTGCGGCCTCCCCCTAGAGAGACAGAAAGAAGACGTCACCCTGCAGTCTTGGGGACCGCCTGTGGGCAGGCCCCAGCTACTGCCCGAACCCAGGGGTTAAGAAAAACACAAGTCTCCGACCTTTACCCGTCAGAAATGGGGCTGGGAGAGGCAGGAGGGGACACGGTGGCCAACCTGGGGCTTCAGGAGGGGCTGCTCCAGGCCCACCCCATGGGCGGGGGAGGGGCAGACGATGGGACGACGTTACCGGCCCCCGAACTCGAGCCGGCTGTTTTGGACAAGGAGCTAGAGGTGCCTTCTGGGCGCTGCCGGCGGCCCCCTCCTCCCTCGGGAGCGCGACCGGCCGGGCCGGGACGTGTAGGGTGGGGTGTAAGCAGCTTTAAGGGCCAGCGCCAGCGGCTGTTTCTATCCCAGGAAATCCCCAAGCCATCTGTGACGAAGGGGCTTGACACCCAAGAGGACAGGCCCTCCGCGGGAGGGGCAGGCCCAGGTCGGCTGCCGGTGCCTGCCGTGGGGTGCGCAGGAACAGGGGGTGCGGGGGTGTGGGGGGG